TTCCAAAACTCAAAGAAATTGGGTTACGGTAGTTTTGACTCTATTCCTCACCGTTTTCCTCAACCGTCCATCCAAATTCTTCAGCTTATGCCCCTCATCACACACCATCACATCGAACCGGCAAGCTCTCAACTTTTCCACGTGGCGTTGAGCCAAATCATAACTGATAACTAGATAGGGCATCGTTTTGATCGTCGTCTGATACGATTTGATATCCATGGCTGTGAGGGCGATGACAGCTGGGAATCTCATCAGTCTCCACCATTTTTCGAATTCCGATTTCCAGTTGTTCACGAGGGAGGATGGGACGATGATAAGGCAAGATTGAGCAATTTGGGATACGGTCTTGGAGCCTAGAAATTGGATTTAGGGTTACAAGACTTTCCTACAGTAATCTTCTTCATTTTAGAAAATTTTTCCTACAGTAATCCTTTTCATTTTTTAAAAGGATTTTCAGCAATTTTTCATTATTTTATGACCAGTCGGTTTACGCCCCTTCGGGGCTAAACCTCCTGGCCCCGCTTACAATACCCGTAATCTAATAAAGAGAGTCCGTCACTTTTACAGGGGCTATTTTTTAGGACCTATGCTCACAAATTCGAAAATTAGGAAATTTTGAGCTTAAGAATATCATTTTTGGAAACTCAGGATCTCGGTAGTTTCGGAATTTAACATCTCGGATATGAGGAGATTTGAATTTTTGAGAATTCGAAAAGTCAGTTAATGAAAAGTGTTTTTAATGCATATAAGCTTAGACATTGTGATGAAGGAAATACTAAGTCTAACAAAACTTCTGTAACTCTCAAATTCGCAAATTTAGAAGTTCGAAAATTCTGAAATTCAGACATTCTGCAAATCTGAAAGTTCTGAAATCCCAAAACCAATTTTGCAAATTTTTGGCAAATTCAGGAATATAGCCTCTAAAGCCATTCATAATTAAGATCGGGAATTTTTTAGCTTTTAAAATTTGAAATTCAGAAAATCGTTTCACATCAAAACAGCGACTAAAAATTTTGGGAACAAAATTTCGAAAAAAAAAATCTAAAAATCGAATTCAGAATGAGTTCAGAATTGAAAAAGTTCAAAAACTCAAAATTTCAGAGAAACTTAGGAGTTAGGAAGTTTTTAAATTTTTCAAAAGAAATTCAGAGGTTCAGAAATTCAGCAGTTCACAAAATTGAAAATTCAGGGATTCATGATCAGAAACTCTGATTTTTCGAATTTCCTAATTTCTGAGTTTCTGAAGTTCTGAATTTCTGGAATTCTGATTTTTTAAAAGATTCAGAAGTTTTGATTTTTGGTTTTTCGAATTTCCGAGTTACCAAATTAGGACTTTCTGAAATTCAAGAATTTAATCTCAGAAATTTTAGTTTTTTGAAACTCTGAATTTATGGGTTTCTGATTTTTTTTTTGAGATTCTGCCTTTCTGATCTTCAGATTTTCCGATTTTTGCGAATTTCTGCATTTCTGCATTCAGGAATTTCTGATTTGCGGTTATTTTAAAAATTTAAAAACTTTGAATTGTTCGATCCGAAAATTCACACATTTTAATCTTTTGGAATTTTTTTGATTTTTTAACTTTTCCCTACAGTAATCCTCTTCATTCTCAAACATATTTTTCTACAGTAATCCTCTCCATTTTTCGAATATTTTCTTCCTACAGTAATTCTTTTCATTATCAAACATTGTTTCCTACAGTAATCCTCTTCATTTTCAAATTGTTTATCTTTTACAGTAATTCATTCTCGTTTTCGAACACTTTTTTCAATTTTACAACTTCCACATGACCTAATTTTTACGGAAAATATATTTTTCCATTTTTCAAAATTTTCAAGTTTCCGTGTGCCCCCCCCCCCCTCTCCCAGCTCATCCAGCATCCCCGAGATCTAGCGCAACTGATAAGAAATCCGCTATAAAAGGCGCCCGTCTCCCCATTGATCTCCTCAGAGAACTTCCTCGAAACCAACCCAACAATGGCTCAATCCGTTCCACCCGGCGACATCCAGACTCAACCAAATGCCAAGATCGTCTTCAACGCCCCGTACGACGATAAGCACACCTATCACATCAAGGTTATCAACTCATCGGCTCGTCGTATTGGTTACGGTATCAAGACCACCAACATGAAGCGTCTCGGTGTTGATCCACCATGTGGAGTTTTGGACCCAAAGAAGGCTGTGTTGTTGGCCGTGTCGTGCGATGCTTTTGCCTATGGACAGGAGGTGAGTAGCTTTTTGCCCGATTTTTGCCCAATCTTTGTTAAAGCTTTAACCTAGACTATCCTAGCTTGCCCAAACGTTGCCCAAGCTAGCCCGACCCTTGTTCCATCCTTTCCTAGGCTTGCTCTATGTTGCCCTAGCTTACCCAATTGTATTGTATTGTATTGTATTTATTACGTAAAAAATACGTGGAAGAATAAAAAGAAAAAAGAATGAAAAAGAGAATAAATAGACAAAAAGGGACATGGTGACATAAAATTGATATTTCTTAACCTAGAAATGAATAATAGTGGATAATAACAAATCTTTTTCCGAACTTCTGACAGCAGCAGGCTTTTAGATCCGTTTTGTAGAGCTCATCATTTTACTAAGAACCCTATGTGTGAAGAAGTTTTGTTTCTTGCCCAAGCTTGCCTAATTCTCGCCCAAGATTTGCTCAATCCTTGCCCAAGCTTGCCTAGTCTTTGCCCAATCCGTGTCCAATATTTGACCTGTCTTTGCCAAAGCATGCTTAAGCTTTGTCCTACTTTCGCCCAACCTTTGCCTTAGTTTACCCAAGCTTTGCCCAGACTTTCCCAATTCTTGCCAAATCAGTCCCAAGCTTGCACAAGTTTTGTCCTACTTTTGCCCTAGCTTGCCTACCTAGTCCTGGAGCCCTAGAACCCTGGAGCTATCAAAGCTAACTAGACCTAGATTGCCCAAGTTTTGTCCTATCATTGTCCTGGCTAGTTCGACTTTGCCCAATCTAGCACAAGCCTCCCAACACTTTGTCCTACTTTTCCCCAATCTTTCTTATGCTTGCATAATTCTTGCCCACGTTTTGTCCCATCTTTGGCCAAGCTTGCCCAAGCCTGCCTACTTTAGCCCAAGCTTGCCCATGATTTGCCCAAGCTTTGCCCAGACATGCTCTAGCTCGCCGAGTCTTTGTCCTAGACTGCTCAAGCTTGCCTAACCATTTCCCAAACTTTGTTTTAGTTTGACAAACAATTGCCCTATCTTTGTCTAACCTTGCCTATTCTTTTCCCACTCTTTGCCCAGACTTGCGCTAGCTTGCCGAATCTTTTTCCTAGACTGCTCAAGCTTGCCTAGTTATTGTCCAAGCTTTTCCTCAGTTTGTCCATCGAAAATCCATCGAAGTCGTGACATAGGAAATCAACATAACTAGGCCGTGGCCTAGGAAATCCAAAAAACTAGGTCATAGCTTTCCACTCACCAATTCCTGTCTCGAATCCTCGTCAGCCCCAGTTTGTCCTGAATTTCGTGCGGTTTCATTGCTGAAAATCAATTTTTTGTCTAATTTTAGCCCAACCTTAGCCCAACCGTTGCCCAATCTCTGTCTAAGCTTGCCCACGTTTTGTCCTACTTTTGCACAATCGTTGCCCAATCTTTGCTTAACCTTTGCTCAACCTTGCCCAACCTTGCCTAAGCCTTTCCTTAGTTTTCTTAAGCATGCCCAACTCTTGCCCAGCCTTTGCCCAACCTTTGCCCAAACCAAACATTCCTTTTCTTCCAGGACACCAACAACGATCGCATCACTGTCGAATAGACCAACACACCAGACGGTGCCGCCAAGCAGTTCCGCCGCGAGTGGTTCCAGGGAGACGGTATGGTTCGTCGCAAGAACCTTCCCATCGAGTACAATCCATAAGTGGATTGGCCCATCAATGCAAATAGGAAGATCGAACGATAATCGAATCACCCCCTCCAACCCGTTTTGCTTTTTCTCAAAAGATCTCAAGCAATGTTAAAAAAAGTGAATTGTGTTTTTTATTTTGTTGGTGTTTCTTTGTGTTGTGTTGGATTTGTAGGTTTTAGAGAATTCTAGATTGTTCCAGAAATTTCAGAATCTCGGTTCTTCAAACTATCGTAACCCAGCTAATTTTCTCCAAATTTTATAAAAAAGTATACAGATCGATTTAAAACTCGATTAGCTTCAAAATGAGCCCAAAGACTAAATAAAAAAAATAGCAATGAGCAGCACACGCATAGGTTTCGAGTAGTCGTCTTCTAGCCACCGTCCCGTATTGCCTCGACTAGGATCAAAGTTTGGATTACTGTAGTCTGGGTTTTACCGTAACCCCGGCTAATTTTGGTCCAAATTTTATGAAAACTATACAGATCGATTTGAAATTCAATTTGCTTCAAAATGAGCCCCATATTGCCTAGGCTCCGCCCATTTGCATTTTTCGGACGCGTCGCGGTCGTGCGTCGCGGGCCGCAGGGACTTTCAGATTTTTAGACAGAAGCCTTGAATACAAAATCTCAGATTTTTAAATTTGCAGGTTTTTGAATTTTCAGATTGTCAAAAATCCCAAAAATTTCCGAATTTCCGAACTTCAGAATCGCAGAATTTCAGATTATTAGATGTCAAAACTTTAGAATCTCGGAGATCCCAGAATTTTAGAACTTCTGATTTTTAGACTCGGAAATTCGGAATTCCAGAATTTCAGATTTACGAAATTTCAGAATCACTGAATTTCAGATGTTCAGATTCTTAGCATTTCAAAATTTTTAGATTTTTCAGACTTTGGTAATTTCAGAATTGTCAAACTTCAGAATCTCAGAACTTCAGAAGTTCGGAATTTCAGATTTATTTGAAAATTGTCAACTTTTAGAAAATTCTTTTTTTTTTTTTGAATTTTCGAATTTCCAAATTTTTGGATTTTCAAAGTTTCAAATTTTCAGATTTACGAAATTTCGGAAACACAGAATTTCCGAACTTTCAGAATCGCAGAGTTTCGAAATTTCAGATTTTTCGAAATTTTAGAATTTTTTGATTTCTTGAAAATTATGAAATTTTAGAATTTTTTGATTTTTTCAAAATTTGAAATTTCTGAACTTTTTGGATTTTATAAAATTTTTGATTTTTTTAATTTTCAATTATTCGAAATTTCAGAATTGTCAAACTTCAGAATCTCAGAATTTTAGAATTTCAAATTTTCAAATTTTCAGAAAATTTTTGAAAATTTTCGAAAATTTTTTTGAATTTTCAAGATTTTTTTTAGATTTTTCGAATTTTCAAATTTCAGAGTTTCCCTCCATTTTTTTTGTTTTTTGCACCTCTTAACAATACCCACGTGGCTGCCATCGTTTGTATACTTTTTCCCAGTCCCATATCGTCTGCCAGAATCGCTCCGCCCATTTCTTCCTGAAATTTCAATTTTATCAATGGAGCGCACTTTCCCTCTCCCACCTTCAATCTATCGAATATAAACTTGATTCCCTCCTTCTGATGATCTCTCAGATGACGTGCGAATCTGGGATCGACGATGATGGCAGAAGACGTCTTTCTATCCAGAATATCCTGTTCGTTGAGAATAAATGGAGGTATCTTTTGTTGGATGACGTTGGAAGAGCCATCTGGAGCCGACGAGGTTGCGTTGACGTCGATGAGTGGGGGGACGAACGTGGAGCGTTTTGGGAGAGACATTGGGGTCTGGAAGTGGGGGGAGTTTGAATTTTTGAGGAACTTTTCGCGCCGAAGGCGCACCAGCCAGCTGTTTGAAGCGCCTGCATTCCCACAGTATTCCTACAGTAACCCTCTTCATTTTGGCCAGTTTTCGATGAAATTTGGGTCAAATTTAGGCCCCATTTTCTCCCATTCTTCTCACCTCTTTCCCCAAAAATGGATTCGACAACGACGCTCTTTTCCTTCCCAAATTCCCCGGCTTCTCCTCAATTTCCATCTGAGCCACGCCATTCTCTGCAGTAGGAGGAATCTGTGGTCGTTGTGCTTTGAATTTCCCGGGATTTCGCTCAGAAAGTATTCCAGAAGACGTTGGTTGAGATTCGATGGGTTCAGAAAGAGCCGGCGGATGACGTGGCTGTGCTCTGGTGGCCACTTGCTCTTGGATTTGCACGCTCCACGAGCCGATGTTGATAACGCGACCGTCGTCTAGCTGATCCAAATTTTTCAGAGCCGATGATCTGGAAATTTGAAATTCTAGAAAATCGATTTCACATTTTTTGAGAATTTCAGAAATTTCCGATTTTCCAGGATTTTTAGCGATTTTCAGCTAAAAAGTTTTTCAAAAAACGATAAAAATTGACGAAAATCTGAATTTCTGTGCATTTTGTCGTTATATTCGATGTTTCGCCGCCGCTATTGTCTATTCAATAAAACGTCCACTTTTGATTGTTCATGCTTGGGGCACAAATTTGGATTTGCTGCTTTCCTGACCCCTGTGATGTATTATCCAACTGCTTCTGGAACGCCTCGAGGACTGTTTGAGGCTTTAGGGCTCCCTGCGAAATGGAGCGCATATTTTGCGCAGGTTTCTATATTTAGTATGTTTATATCATTTTTAACATTTTGTCATCCTTTTCATTATAACTTTTCAGTGACCGGTGCAAATTTCGTGATGCTTCTGGAAAATCGACACAGCCAAAATTTCATGGATAAAATTCAAAATCACTCGGCTCAAAACACGAATCTTCTATTTTGGAGTCAATTACTTTTTTGCATTTTCCCTAATGCTTGCATTTTATTTGGAAGATGCAGATCAAATGGAACTTCGGAAATTTGTTCTGAAGGTGTTTTTTAAAAACATTTCTATTTCATTTAAAATTTTTTTAGAGAATCCCCTGCCCAACTATTGATTTTTATGATAAGAACACACT